ATGCAGATATGTCCCTTACGAATTTTCCTTACAGGTAGGTCTCTCGGTTAGCCCTCGGCCAAACAAAATTACAAATCTAACCTACTGCTGTACTGAACAGCCTCGTGGTTAGTCTCGGCAGTCGAAATCAGCAAGTCATTGCATCAATGTCGAAGCAAAATCGCACTGAACACAAGCACTTGAATCTCCGAACACAGTGTCGAAGCAAAGTCGCACTGAACACAAGCACTGAGGCTGAAAACTTTGTGTCCGTAATGTGCTTGAGTCCGTACTTAAGTACCGGACTCAAGTATGGCCCTGAGGGCGAAAGTCAAAATGCCTCAGGGCCAGAACTGAAAATCGAAAGTCTGAGAGTGGGCGCCAGAATGCCAGATGGCGCCAAGTGTCCAAAATCCAAAAGTCCAAAAAGACGGAATTTGAAAACGGGCGCCAGAATGCAGATGGCGCCAACTGTCCGAAATCGGAAAAACAAAAACGAAGTAAAACAAAACAAAAGAATTGCAAAAACAAGAAAAAGAAAATAAATACAGCAAGCTGGCGGATAGTAATCCGCAGACCAGGGGCCGAGCCCTAGCGAAGTCCGTAACATGAACCCTTGTTTCAAATTCAAAGTCTGACACTTTCAGCTATTAAGTTACATTCGCCAGAATGCGGTCCTGCCTCACTTCGACCAACGAAGTTTTTTAGTCTATCGTGTTTAAAGCTTAAACTAAACAGACTCAATCATGCAAAACACGGGACGCCTTAACCATCTATGTGGAATTTGACTTCCACCTCGCAAGACAAGGAGGCTGAGTTTCAGCATTCGGGGAAATCCTGAGGACTCCACTGCAATCAGACTCGTCTTCACTCCACTTCACATACACGCAAACAGATGTCGTTTCACACTGGCGTGCAGCACCCGCACCAAGCTCAGAGATATGGCAACCAAGAACCCAGTTCAGATGTAAACTCGCTTCAACAAACTATGGCGCATCAGCGCCTGTACATCACAACTCTCGTCACTGTGTTCAACACCACCGTTCACCCGCACTCAACTCTGGATCACGCTGAATACACCCACGCACACTCACTTGTACACGCTCACTAACCTCTAACACTACAGCGGCTATGGCCACTCTACTTCTACTAACTATGACTACGTTGTCTCTCTTCAGCCCACTTCGTCTTCGGGCAACCTGCAGACCACCTTCACACAAGACGCTGTAGCAGCGCTTCCGCATGGCTTACGCAGCGAATGGATGAATGGCTGGGCGCTGCCTCTTGATTTATACTTCTGTAACTCGTTGGTCTGCCCCTTTCCCAGGCCCTTGGTGCACACAGTCCCACACGGTACTTGCTTGACTGGACTCCGACTGACTGGGACCGGTACCGCTGACTGCATGGGTTTGCACTGCCAACTCGATGCAGTCGCACTGCTGACGCAACGCAGTTGGGCTCACCACTTGCCCACTTGCCTCTGACTAAACGTGAGACACTTGGAAAGGCCACTTCCGGACCTTCCGGAAGTCTGTGGACTTGGCCTTTCTGGTACTGTAGCAGCTACGACCTTGACCTTTCAGAATACCTGCAGCTATGACCTCTACAAAGCTGTGACTCCTAATCGGCAGACCTACAGATCGAACCCCTACCACTACACAGACCTACGACAGACGACAAACAACTACCAAAACACAGGTCACGGGTTCAAACACTAGGGTGTCGACTCGATACTGTACATGGGCAAAGCGAGGTCTGGGGATTGAACTCCAGGGCCCGCATCTGTGACTGCAGAAAGGTGAAAACCGTTTCACTACCATGTGTCTGACGACTGTACCATGTTTGATCCAAATTGCGTCATGTGCTCACCGGTTCGGCAATCAGTCAGCAAACATTGACTTGAGTTGAGCAATCTGTCAGCAAACATTGACTTGAGTTTGCAAATATGTTAATGCTCTGATGTATCATTTATGGCATTTTATGCCCCCCAAACTCTGCCATTGCCCAATCCTTGAGCAAGGTTAACAATGTCCGCCATAAAAACAAAAAAGAACACGAAAAGTGCAAATGTAATGGCTGAGAGCTCTAAGCTGCTTAAGGTTGATATGTTTGCAGATGAATCCTTCTTTGGCAAGGTAGTCAATATGTAGTATTTAGTATTTACAGATATGCCCCTGGATTTCGTTTGGAGGACATACTTTTGCAGCTAAGTCCTTGGAGTGATACAGCCTAAAAAGTCGGTGGTATTTACACATACGCGCTTAGATTTTTTTTGAGGAAGAGACTATTGCAGCTACGCCCTTGGGGTTATACCGCCTAAGACCCCGACCCCCCCCCCCCCCCCCCCCCCCCCACAACACAACGCACACTCATTTTGACTGTATCAGGTCGGAAAGATTGTTTGCATACGAACACTCATTATCAGGGCATGTTACGTATACAAACATTCATTATCAGGGTCCATTATGTTCGGGGTGGAGGGTGGCCCCTACCGCCCTCACCCGAACACAACGAACTGTCATTATAGCTGTATTTGGGGTAGTCTAAATACAGCTACAGTGACCGTATGTCGTATTCAGAGCAAGAAGGTAACAATGTGCTCTGCAATAACGGTCCATGGGAATGTCCCACACAGTGTAAACTGTCTGAGCTTGCGCACGGCGATCGCCAGCTCCGAAAATGCACCCTCTCCAGACCGAAACCAAGAATTCAACCTTACATTTAGTCAGCAAACACCAACATCAGCCATGCACTGAAAATAACACCCAAGTCCCACCTGTGACCGAATGGCAATGAGGAAAAGAGTGTGTCGGCTGTGCATTATCTCCTTAATCCTTGCCCCCCAAAACCATTCTCCATTGCTACCGGAACCAAATAGACACAGTATAGCAACCAAATAGATGCAGTACCGCGACCAAATAGACACAGTACCGCCACCAAGTAGACACAGTACCGCAACCAAATTGACACAGTACCACAACCTAATAGGATGGGAATCCGCGCTCTAAGAGGACACGTTAAAAGACAATGTTGTCCGCCACCAAACAATTAAACGGACATAGCTGGTCCGAATCGGTTTTACAGACAAGTGCGACTTTTGAAACCGCACTCCTATCTGTACGCCTCGTGTGCATGCCACTCTGACACATGCAAACACGACACGTGTAAACACAACTGTTCCAGCGTATACGAACGTAACAACCAGACAGGGGATCACAATTGTTGACATAACGTACTAGGACGGGAGATGCTGACAATCAAGTACCGAAGTGCTATAATTGTGCTGAACCAGGCCACCTGTCACGCAGATGTATCTCTGTCTAACAGTGCCGTGTTGATACCATGGATGATGTCGAGTCATGATATGTGAAGGAAGTCCTTGATTGATTGGGAATGAGGCTGGGCAGTGGTGTGTAAGGAGGTGACACGGATGTGAGCCCAATCGAAGCAGTGCATGGCGGCATTCAATAGGTGGATGTGTGAAGTAATGAGGGGTCAAATTGTTGACCCCCTAAGTTACGTGCGATGCAACAAAAACATAGCGGTCGTTTTAATGAGAAACAAAATGGTATGGACTACTATTAAGTCATTTTTTTACACGCTAGTTTAGAGTCGTATGAACTACCGAACAATTAAATGGGCATAGCCGGTTGGAGTCGTTTTTACGTACGTGTCAGACTCTCAAAACTGCACTCTTATCTGTATGTGAAGACGCGACTGTTCCAGCAGCCACTCACTTATCTGCTCTATCCCACAACAGATAAGACAAAATCACACAATTGCTCACTTATTCATTGTCTAGGAATGTACCTTTTCCTTGCGTTACTGTGTTTCAAACTTTCGATCTCACTCTTGGGGATCGAACTAACATCGAGGAAAGCAGAAGCCACATCAAGGAACCAGTGACCCACCTTCTCATAAAGCTTTGCCATCTCACGCTCTTGCTGCTTCAATCGCAGCCGCTCAATCCAGCTCCTCACCGTCGACATCTCTAGGATCTGGTCGATCGATGGCCTGTCGTCAGACAATTTCCCGCAAATGCACCCAGAAAAAGAATCCAAAATGATGTCAGTTGCTCCACATCTCTCACCATCGATGGCAAAGTATGCATTTGCCCAATTTTGTGGGAAATTGTTTGTCCCCCGTGAAAAGGGTATCCATTCGCCATCCCCCACTATGAGCAACAAATGCGTTTGCTGAGCTTTGCTCTAACTTCGTGCATCATCCTTATTCAATGGG